CCCCCCCCCCCAACCACCCCACTCTTTCCGTAGCGTTGGTCTAAGTCCTTGATGCGGAGAGAAAGGAACCAGAGTGATTTGTACAGCCGTCTATGGCGCTGCCATATGGCCTTGGTCACGTGGTTCGCGACGTAAGGGAAAGAGAATCTTGGGGTCATGGGGCTTCCCCTGACCTAGATTCTATCTCTCCGTCACCGGCAGAATCGCTGATTAATGCCTACAGTTCAAAATAGTCATTTTGACTGACCGGAGTCTATGGTGGGTAATTGAACGTAGTGATACAAGACCAGACGTGCGCTTGACACGCAAATTTTTTTTTCCTTCAAAATCTAATCTCTGAGTTTTTAACTGATGACCTCCTCCTCCCTCAGTAGACAAAGATGTCCTACATACGATTTTTATTATTCAAAACAGCTCATACATAAAAACCCTGCGTCCCTAGTGTACATTAAAGACAATGAAAATGGAGTAATAATATAATATAAGCAATAGTCATTACAATGATGAGTCATTGGTGATCCAAATTTTCGTTTGAATTATTCAAATCGCACTAACCCTATCACCAAAAGATTATAAACAGCCCAGATGTGACAGTCTTATGAACTTCTTGTAAATAAAAACAAGGGGATGAGATTTATTCTGTGAAGAAGTAAGTTTGAATAAATATCAATATGTACCACAGGGTAACAAGGCAGTGAACAAGCCAGTCTTCTGATACTCTATTCAGAGTAACTCAGCTAGTTATGTGCCATGTGAGGTTTCCTAACACATTGACAGAACACACTATATTTGTAAAACAACCTAGTGCTTTTCGACCAATCAGAATGCTCCATTACAGGACAATTAAAGACAACAAATGCCCTGTTTCAAAGACTGGTCTTTGTTCTTGATATGACCACACCTGCTAGGAGCGAGTAAGATCAGCTTATTATGAATCGCAGAACATGTTAGAAACTGCAGCGAGCTGCTAGTCTCATTAGTCAGGACATAGTCTGTGACGACAATTATTCCGTACAGTCTGGAAACAGATCTTTCAAGTAGTGGGAAATAAATATTTTTTCTACCTTAGGCTGAACATCAAAATGGTCGACCCCTACCCTGGGCGAGTGTGCCACAGACTCAATGGGAAGGCTAATTCCACTGGCCGAGATTCATTCACTAACGAATGCGACTTTGGGGGAACCTTGGTTAAGGTCCGCAGGTGCTTGTGTTCGACCGAGCCTGGTTGACGCCAAGATAGCGCATTAATAGGGAGATGCCATGTAGTCCCAAACAGGAAATGACTTCTGTAGCAAAATGCACTATGTGTCAGCACTAGCACTTGCAATTTGCACTTACAAGAGACAGGACCAGGAGAGACAACAGTGACATTCAATGTCCGGAACTGTCGCCAGGCACGAAAACATTTAAAAAAACAAATTTTTTTTTTTTTTTTTTTTTGAAAGCCGACTACCATCACATCATCAATGGGGGTTCCATTGCAGGACGTCATTGAATTTCCAAGAACTCCCAGATTGTGCAAAACTACAATATATGACACTCAGCGACTGTTAGAGTGTGTGTGTATTCAAGGATCCACATGTGGTCACACTCTGCATGACAAATCTGAGGTTTTTAACACCTGATCTTTCATGTTTTCCTGGGGATAATACAATAGTGTATGCGTGCTATTCATGGGAAGTAAATGAAGGTAGCTTCTTCATCCGTCTTCTGATTCAATAACAGGGAATTGAGCAATGGTGACTATGTCCCCGTCTGTTGTGAACTATCATGTTTTAGCATCTCAGGAGACTAGTTCTGCCGTTGATTGAAGGTTGAGCTTTCAGTTCATTTTTATTGATATGTTCTGTCCCCAATTCCCTGTCTGTTAATCCATCATATGTTGATACTTTCAGCTGAGACTTTCCAAACATTTGGTGGACAGGGATTGCTCACCATCATAAGGCATCAAAGTAACTACAAGAATGTGTGTGTACTGTAGATGCTGTAACAGGCCCTCTCGTGATTAATGGTGGAGGAGCCAGTCATCTACCGGTACTAAGGATACACACAAATACCTAGAGTGTGAAGTTGGATTATTATTGGGACTTTGATTTGTCATACAGTATTCAACCAAAAACTTGAGGAAATATTGATTGCACTGTCAGCCAATCAAGGTCCCATAATGGCCAATATATGTACCAAGTTTGAACAAAATTCATCTGTAAACAGCCACGATCCAGTTCTGGAATGCTTGATTCAATGATTTTTCAGCACAAAAATGGCCACCATTCAGCCATCTTGAATCAGATTGATGTGCATATGTATATTATGTATGATGTATGTGTGAAGTTTGAATGTAATTGGTCTGGATGCATGCACAATTGTCAATCCATTTTCGAATGGCGTCCGAAAACGGGGACCAATTATTTATCCAGAACATTTATAGAAAATAAATAATAATAATAAAGTAATCTGCTAGCATGAACGCAACAAAGATTCAAAGTATAATTTATTTGTATTCATGATATAACATATTAATTAGTCTTCATGCATCCCAGTTTGTTTACAAATATGTAGCTGGTCAAATAAACGTTAATTTAAAATTCATTCAATTTTAAATAATTTATCAACAAGAGTTTTTTTGCCTGGGATCTCTACCCCAGACAAAGTGTAATGTTTCATTTAATAATGTGGAAATGAAATAAAACAATTGATTGGCCAAACTGCCAGATAAAACTTGTTTTCATGCTAATTTCATTAGCCCCCAACAGATTAAAGCAAATTACTTAAGCACCTGCACCTATTTGCAGACCGTTTCTCTGACAACATAGTATCCAGAAAGGTCCCAGTGGGTATAGTGATATTTAATATAATTGGTGCCAATCCACATGTCAGAACCTGGTTATATTAATACAATTGGTGCCATTCTTGTGTCTAGACCTGGTTTATATTGATATCTACAGATCACTGTGTAATGATTTTTAGATTTTATTTCAAGGAAAACATAGCTGTACCGGTACATATGTTAACAGATTCAAACAAAGTCTGTAAAATCATCAATATTGGAGTCACTTCTTGGTCTTGTCGCATAATGTCTTCGTGATGGTGAGGACGGTGATGTAGAGGAGGATGGTGACAAGCTATTCTGCTGCTCTTGTTGTATTTTATGACGTAATCTTTTCATGAGTCTTAGTCTTTCTAACCAGTTGGAGGCGTAGGCATTACCAACACTGCCTTGACTTGTACTCTGGTGGATCAATGAGGCCAGCTAGGGAGGCAAATTAAAGCATCAATTATTAGTGGTGCATCATTGATGTGTGTAATCATGGTGGAGAGATTTATCACATATTAATGTTTTGTTGCAAGGCATAAGGGGGAAATATGGCTGCCTTTAGTAACTCAGATCAAGAACCAATCCATGAACATTGGAACAAGAATGAAATTCAACAAGTATTGATTTTTTAGGCCAATTTCTCACATTTTATTAATGACATAAATCATATTATAATCAGTTATAGTCATTTACAGCAGTGCTGTATTTAAAATATTTCTTTAAAAGTTCAAAACTTACATTTGCATGTAAGGCCATCTGTCTGACTAACATGGCAACATTTTTATCTGACACTATTTTTGGCCAACTGTTTTCCATCAAATCTGAAAAAAAAAATGTTAAATTTAAAGAATTGGCTAAAAACAACATCAACATACAGAACTTGCATAAAATAAGAGAAGAATATTTTTATTCTATAAGCACATATACATCAAATAATGTGTTTATTGTGTGCTAGATTATAGAAACATGTCTTATTTTGACCATGGACCTACTACTTCTGTCATTTTAACTGCTGTAAAACATGACCTGTTAAAAGCCTCCATGGTTTGGTATATAATTCCATCAGGGAAGTGCTCATCATGCAATAAAATTTTATGTAATTTACATGATAAATATATGTCACATAGGAACTTATATCAAGCAAAGAATGTTGTTATGACAACCATTGTACAGCTGTTATAAAATATCTTGACATAATATGGACATAAACTGCATGTGAGTCCATTTACTTTGATGAATGTTAGTTACAAAGAATAACCTCAGAATAAGTTTACATTTAACAGTTTACCTTCTCTGGCTTGAACAGTAACTGTATTGCTCTCATTATCCACAGGTTGAATTACAATTTCAACAAAGTTAAACTGACCCTGTAAATTTGATTTGAACTTAGTGTTAATAACGAATGCAGCGTGAGCGGTTGAAAGCTGGTTGTGAAGTGAGCAATATAGATAACATGAGTATCTAGAGAAGAGTGTAGAGCTATCTACATGCCCTAAGAATTTGAGTTTGGTGAATGGGAGGTGCCAATTTGTTTGTTTATTTCACAAATTATGCAAAGCAAAACAGCTCATTTATAACAAAAAATAATTAGAACTTTGTTCACTGATTATGCAATAATACTGAATCCTGTTCAACTCGAGTGTGAACTAATAACTTGATTTCCACAGTTCATCACATTGACGTTATATGGCTACGTTGGTTCTTTTTTTTTAGCAAATCACTAAACTTGCTTGAATGAGCTCACCCGCCAGGCATTGCCTGCTACATATTACTATACTATGTGACACATAATATTAAATGGTCCTAATATCAGCACATAGAGGCCATGAAACAAGGTGTCATAGTTCACCATCATGGAATAGTCAGAAATCAGAAATTCATTCAACACAGGATATATGATTCAGATTCTTACCTAGACGTCAAATTGAATCAAAGCATTTTATGAATAACAAATTCTGATATACGGACAGTACTCATTTCACTCCATCTCCACTTTTCGTTCACTAAATTTCAGCTAGCCTTTGTGACCACTTGTTGAAATCAACCAAAAAATTTCCCAAGGTATTGCATGCCCAAACTGTGTTAGCTATCAGACTACTCAAAATGTGATCAGAGGTTTACATAGTTGTGTCTTTCTATATTCTAGTATGTTCTGTTTATAATTTTCTATAAGTATATGCAAACAATCTGAATCTTTGATCTAGATTTGATTTAGATGCAGTATTTTATTTTCATCAATATTCCTTTTTAATCAGTGAGATTCCTGGGTTTTTCTTCCTGATTGTTGACTTGATGCAATGTGTTCAAGGTTTGTTTAATTAATACTGTTTTTTAATGTGGAGAAAAACGTGGACTGAATGCAAAAAATATTTCAACATCTGAAATAAAACCTGATATGTGTGCAGTTAATCCGAAAATTATGATTAATTCTTTATAATTATGTCTTCTGATATTGGTAAAGTTATCAGATTATGTGTACAAGCCTAGATTTATGGGTGACACATGCACTTTCTTGTTCATATCACATGTTTATTTCATCATAATGTAAAAGCTTATAAACTTCACACTATAGCGATATACATGTATTGATTAATCTGTCTGCTCATATGTTTATTGTGTGTCATGTATTTATTTATTTAATTAACAATCACACCCCCTAATCATGAGGTGATAAAAATGGTAAGATAGTGCATGCATGTTACCTTTATTGTGCCAAGTTGATACTGTTGATTACTGTCGTTATAAATGATTGTAACAAAGTCATTACCAATGTGAAGCTTTTTCTCATTACAGTTGGGATCAGAACTTCTATTTGGCATCAGTGTAGCAACATGGAAGATAACTGAAATACAGGAAAGGCAGACATGAATGTCATATGTGAACTGAACTACAGACTGTGTAATAACATGCATACTTACGTACTCTATATGGCATGGCATTGCATTTCAATTAAATTAGGCGAGGGT